GGGCCAGGTTGGATTTTCAGCCATGAGGGAGGCCACAACAAGCAGATCTGTGTGTTTTTATCTGCATTTGCTGGAGTTTTGACTTCTTGACTGGATTCCAAGAGAGAATTTTGGGGTGAAAGAACGTAGACTGGCCAGGATGCTCCACACCCTCACCTTTGAATGTGGCCATGTAAGCCTCTGTAATGTGCACCTGGAGATTCTGCAGTAGACACAAGTCAGTTAGAAAACTGTCCTTGGGTAGGAGGAAACCCGACCAGTGAAAGTGCCAGGCTGCCTTGCTGCTGCCCTGCGACCTGCCCACGAGGCTGCAGCTGGTGCGTCAGGCCCCACCCGGCCTACCTCCCCTGTGACACTGGCGTCTGCTGACCTCGAGGGCCTGACAGGTGCTGGGCCCCCTTCCCAACAACTCTCTCCTTCGGGGTCTGGATGACGTTCAAGGGGTGATTTTCCAGAAGGCAGGAAGGAAAGCATCCTCAGCAGGTTCTGCTCTGCCACCTTCCTGCCCCCCCAGACCCCCGGGCTCCTCCCTGCCCGGGAAGACAGCACTGGCCTCCAGTGAGGCTGGTTTGGAAGGATAGGCCCGTCCCCAAACCAGGGGCACAAGCCCTCCCTGGACGCCCTTGGGCGCCCACCCCCACTCCCTGTGGTGTGACCCCTGCCCGGGGCTGACGCCACCTCATTCCCCCTTGGCCTGACCCTGGCAGGGCACCTGCGGCCTCTGTCCCTGGGCTCAGCCTCTGGTTTCCACGGGGGCACTGGCAGAGCAGGGAGGCCACCGTGAAAGCTCCTCTCCCCTTGGGCCAGGGCCAAAGGTCATGGAAGCAAAACCACAGAGTTGGGGAGAGGCCCTCTTGCTGCGTCAGGCCAGCTCCTGGGGAGCAGTCCTGGTGACCCTGGGGGGAGGAGGGGGGTTTGCCTGGTCACTGTGCTCACAGGAAGCCGTGGCCTGGTCAGGCTGTGCCTCTCTCTTCCATGCTCCTGAGGAGGAAAGCTGTCCTCAACTGGAAGCCTGGACAGGATGGGCAGGGCAGGAGGGCCCACCGCTAGCCCAGGCCACCTGTGGGAAGGGCGGTGGCTGGCGGGGCTGCTTGTCCTGAGCTACTGGGAGCCGGGAGCCTCTGAGGGTCTCTCTGCAGGCTGCTCAGACATATCCTACCCACCCCCACACCCCACCTCAACTCTTCCCACCAGATCCTCAGTGTTCCAGATTCTGAAGGCGGCCCAAGCTCTAGCCTGGATCTTCCTGGGGTAGAAGGTGCCAGAAGTGGTCGGCCTCTCCATGGGGTGACTCTCCAATTCCCGCCTCTTCCCATGTCCCAGTCATCCCCCACCCGTCCTCTCTGGGCTCCTCCAACTGGCCCTCCACCAAGGGTCCCCCCAACCCTGGGTCCCCCCGACTTCCATCTCCACACCTATTCTCCCCCTAGGCAGACTTCCTTGTTCCCGGTACCCAGTGGCTCCCCGGTGTGGGAACCTCAGGGCAGGACAGGCCTGGCCCAGGCCCCAGCCACTGCTGGGCAGGAGGGGAGCCACTGCTCTTTGGGTGGACACTGTGCGACATGGAGCCAGGGCGTGTGAGGCTTGGCCGGCCAGGTGGGACACCCAGCACAGAGGCCTGGGGTGCAGTCTGGCCCTGGTGCTGCTCAGACACAGCCAGAAAGGCCAGAAAAGACTGCAAGCTTCGGGCGGCCTGAGGCCTGAGCCCACAGAAATGTCCCACTGGCCGGGTGGGGAAACATCCTGGAGCCCCTGACCTGTGGCCTCCGTGCCCCTAGCCCCCAATCCCCTTTCATGTGCTCCTCAAAGCCCAGAGGTCAAGGCTCAAAGGTCAACAGCTGTTGCAGACAAGAGTGACCCTGTGGGCAGTGCCCATGCTTACCAGTGAGCCCACCCCTCTGGCTGGCTGGGTCTGGCCCCTGCCCTCAAAGTGGCCCTTCTGCCACCAGAGGGTGGACAAGGCCCAACCTGGGGTCCACGGACACTGGGGCTCGAGTCCTGAGAGCCTCTGGGCCCCAGAGGCCCAGGATGCTAGGGTGCATCCCGGGACCTGCCCCACGCTGCTGCCGTCAGCGGGCCGCCCACGGGGCCTGTGCAAACTGACCGCAGACACACCTTCTCAGCAGACTAGGCCGGGCCACTGAGCCCCATGGCAGAGGGGTCAGCAGACGCCTCATGGCTGCCGAGACACCCGGGCAGGAAGGTGACATGCCCCTCACACATGTGCCTGGACGTAAAAGGATCTCCCACAGAGAAGTGGAAACCCACTCGTGTTTCCAGTGGGAAGAGCAGCAGATCCTGGGGCAGGGCAGGCAGAGACCGCACACGGCCCGGGGAGGCGGACACTCCAGGGCTGGCCTGAGAGGATGGACAGGGAGGCCGGGGCAGGGCTCGACTGCCTAGCCCCGGCCTCTGTTTACATCCGTCCCTCAAATGGCCAGGGGTGCCACATCTGGGTGGCACCAGAGCCCCAGGCAGGGGTCAGGGGAGCAGGTGCCCGTGGGGGCGGCCGTTCGGTTTCTCCTGGGCTCTGCCCACAGGGCTGTGTCCACACACGTGTCGGCAGTGCCTGCTTTGGCTCCTGGCCAAGCCTCGTCCCACATTCTCTGAGGCCTGGTCAAGGCAGCAGCCGTAGGAACCAGAGAAGGGAGCAGGGGAGCAGGCCCACACCCCCACCCCGACAAGCGTGGATGGAGCTGTGGGTAAGGTCCTTGACCCCTCTGGGGCCCTGGGGACGGCAGGACTGGCAGAGCCCCTGCCCGGGGCCCTGGGGCCCACCCTCCAATTCACCTTAGGGCGGCGTCCTTTCCATAGGCCTGCTGCTCCTCTCTGCAGGACAGGCGGCTGCGGCCACAGCCCCAAGCGGTGGCCCTCTGGGGAGGACACCTGCCCAAGCCCAGGGCCCGCAGTGCCGAGAGCAAGGCTGCCGGGGTACTCGGGGGCTGCCTGGGCGGGACCATTCCTCCCGCGTGTGCCGAGGGCACGGGCAGGGTGTCTGTGGACTCCAGAGACCCCGGCCCACCTCCCTCAGCATCTTTGTGTTGGTTACAAAGACCCAAATAAAGCTGTCACTCAACCCAACTTTTTAAACAAGTCTTTTTATTGAAAGGATCTGAAAATAGTAATAAGGCTTTCAACAACATTTAACAAATTTTCAAGATATTAACAATATGAAACATTAAGAATTTACTTCAAAAAATCCAGAGTTTTCTAGATCATTCCAACATCATGCCGTTTTAGGACTTGGTTAACACTTGCTTTTTTGTCTAAATGAGTGACCCAAATTCTGAATGCCACTCACTTCTGGACCTAAAGCCGGACTTTGGCTCCCTCTCAGCCCGCAAGAGGCTGGGTGGGCCTCTAACTGCGGCCAGTGCTCTCAGGCCGATGATGGTGAGAGCCCACCACGTTTCCAACACCTGGCCCCCTGCTGGCACCACTCAGGCCCAGAGGCCGAGGAGCTCCGACGGGGCAAGCGGAGGGGGGACGGCACTCAGTAACGCACGCACGGACGGACGTCTCGACGGCGTTCAGGTGCAGCACACGCTCTGTTGAGAGCTGTAGCCGAGGGCGGCTGCACGTGTGGCCCTGGACGCCCTTCTATTGGCACGAGACTGAAGTGCGTGACCTCCAAGTGGGCAAAGCGTGGCCCCGACTGTCACTGCAGAAGCAAGTCCAAGAAAGGGCGGGCACCCATCTCTTCCGCTCTTGCCAACTTAACAGATGAAAATGCAACACAAAGTGAACTCAAAAACAGAGGCCTGTATTTAGAATGCCTGTTAGGTGGCAGGAACCAGGGCCGTGGCCACACGCACACTGAGCCACAGTGCCCACCACAGACTCTGTGCGTGCAACGGCCGACAGAAGAGCGACTGCTGGAATGACAGGCATGCCCAGCCCAGGACCCACGGGAGAGGCGAGAACAGAATCGACAGGGAACGTCGGCACAGCCACTTTTCCTCACTAACAATGTGTCCCGATCTTGTCAGAACCACAACGTCCCACGGCTTTCTAACTGAAACACCCATCTCCCTCCGTGGACCGTCACCCTGACGGCGATCATGCTGGACTGGAGAGAATGGTCCCAGCGCATGACGGCACAGAACACAGGAAACAGGGACGAGGCTCCATTTCATGACAGGACAAACCCCCTCCCTCTGAAATCTTCAGTGTGTACAATAAAATCTGTACGTAAGCACTTCAGAATGTTTAAAAGAATCTCTAAAAAGTATACACAGGATTTAAAATATCTTCCAGGGCGCGGAGTGCCATCCCTGCTCGTGAGGAATGTTTGTGGGTCTGACCTGTCGCCGGCCACCACCAGGCCACTGCCAGGCTCGCCAGGCCACGATGTGGCACTCTGCTGGCACCTGTCACACCAAAGCACAGAGAGGAGAAGAGGGCTTGGCCCACGGCGGGGTGGGCAGACTTGGTGCTGCCCAGATCAGGAGGGAGCGAGAGAGGGGCCCATCCACCCAGCAGCCCTGCCAATCAACCACCGAGCTGCTCTTTGTGAAAGTGTTCCCCTGGAGAAGTTTTCGGGGAAAAGGGTGCAGAATCAAGAGGAAAATCGTGGCAGCTAAAGGAAGATGTTTGGCTATGAAACACTTATTTTCCAACACCAAAAGATAGATCAATCTGATCTCATCCTCTCTGAATTTCAATAGACTGATTTATGGAAAAGTTTCCTGACAAGGATTACAAAGAGCCCATCCAGCTCGCTGGTCCCTGCCCCGGGACCAGGTGCTGACCACAGCACGGTGTGTGTGGTGTTGACCAAGAGCTCCCGGCCATTGCTCACTTATGCTTATTTAGAAATGCAAAAAAGAAGTCAGATTGAAAATGTTAAAAACGGCTGATTTGGTCAACAAAAGGCCGATTCCAGGCTCTTCCTCTGGCTATAGACAGAAGTGAGGCAGCATCTGATGCCCCCACAGGGCATGTGGCTGTTCACGTGTTCAGGTTGGCTTTTCCCCCAGAGGGCGAGCAGGAAGGAGGCAGAAAAGGAAAAGGAAGACACCAGAGACTCTTCAGGGCTCGGCGACCCCGAGCGCAGACGCAGGGGCGCAGGCCTGGACCTCCTCAGCCTCCTCCTCCTCCTCTGGGAAGTGGGCCTGCTTCTTCCGCACGTTCCAGTGCAGACACTGGGCCAGGCTCTCAAACCAGTCGCTCACTGGGTCTCGGACGCAGATGGAGGGCAGCGGGTAGCAAGAGGTAGTGATGCTGATGCTGAGGCAGGGGAGACACGCACACGGCACGGGTGAGCCCAGGGCACCTTCCAGAACTGGCCAAGCACTGCCTGGCCCGCCCATCCCAGGCCAGGACCCCTCCCCAAGGGCCAAGCCCATCCTACCCGGCAGGACCCATTCTGGACCCGGCTCCTCAGCCCAGCTGGGGGCCATCTCAGTTTTGCTCCCGTCACCTGCCACTTGGCCTAGACCCAGGTCCTCTGATGCCCCCTGGGGGGGGGGGCAGGCAGTGTCATGCCTTTCAATCTCACCCTAAGGAGAGCCACGGGCTGGGGGCTCAGTGGTGCTGTCGTACCAAGGAATCCTGGGACAGAGCCACGGACCCCCTTGGCCCATCCAGGTCCATGGAGGGGACCCCAAGGGGCAGGGTGGCGGGGAGGCTGAGGGGACAGAGCAGACAGGTACAGCCAACAGGGGCGTTGGGCCAGGAGGGTGGGTGGGGGTGAGGGGCCGTGGGTCTGTCACCCGTAGGTACAGCACAACGTGGGACCATGTGCAGGAACCTGCATGCGTGACTGGCTGCCTGACAGGCGCAGGTCCCTGACGTGATCACATGAGACCAGGGGACAGAGAACCTCCAGGCTCTCAGTGACAGAGCTTTGCCTCCGGGGCCCACACCTGTTCCTCACGCCCCACGCCGGCCTTGCAGGCACACACCTGTCTCCGTGGCGGATCTCCTGTCTCTTTCGTCCATCAAAGGACACCCAGGCGGTGTTCCTTGCTTCTGGTGACAGCATGATCTGAAGGGGTCAAGCAGGACAGGTGTGGGCTCATGAGCCTGCCGCTGAGCTCCTCGGACCCCCACCCTGGGAGGCCGACACCAGCCAGGAGGAGCCTCACAGGCATCCCAAGTGCCCACTACGGGCCAAGGCCAGTTTCTGGCCGTGAAGGCATTAACTTGTGCTTGCTGACACCAGCCCTGGGGAACAGAGGACGGGCATCTGTCCAGGCCCAGGAAGGCCGACCGTCCACCCAAGGCTGGGAACACAGGGCCAGGCGTCTAGCTCCCGCCCTCTCAGCTCTCTGCAACCTGCAGACGCAGCACCACCCACCGGGGCTCGAGGCCAGGGACACACTGGCCTGGAGTGGCCTGCGGCGGGGTGTGCAGGGCAGGGGAAGCGGGGTGGGGGTGGAGCAGCAGCAGGGACCGGCCAGACGCCAGGACAGAGGTCCCAGGGGTGTGTCAGGCAGGGGCATTCCTTATCTCGGGCTACCCATCCTGTCCCATGCAACGTGCACCGTGTCCACCCTGTGCAGGCCGAGAGCCCTGCCGGAGGGGCTGGCCCAGCTCTCAGTGCCGCCCCCGCTGACCAGACCCTGGGCAGCACGAGCCCAGCAGAGAGACCAGGATGGGAGTGAAGCCCTTTCCAGCATCTGGCAAGATGGGGCCCACGGCTCAGTGGGCGCTGGGAGAACAGGGGGGCACCGGGTCACAGCCAGGGGGCGCTGGAGGACGAGGCCGCCTCAGGCCGGAGCAGGTGGTCAGCACTGCAGACCCTGGGCAATGGCTCAAAGTGGAAAAGGCGGAGAGGGTGGGCTCTGACCTTCAGCTCAACCCCTGCAGGGACCACGATGGGCCGGAATGACAGCGAGTGGGGGCAGATAGGTGTGATCATGATGGCTGGCACGTTGGGGTGAATCATGGAAGCCCCGGCCGCAGCTGCGTACGCCGTGCTGCCCGTCGGGGTGGAGACGATCACCCCTGTGGACAGGCCACGTGGTCACCCTCTGTGCTGGCCACCCCCACCCCCGCCCACGCAGAATTCCCAGGGCTGCCCGACGCCCACCTACCGTCGCCCTGCACTGTGGTGATGAGGTGCCCGTCCAGGTAGACGTCCACGTTGGACAGGTACGAGGAGGGGCCTCTGTCGATCACCACCTCGTTCAAGACCTGGGGGACAGCCAGGCCACCACACACTGAGGGGCTGGGCAGTGCCTCCCAGTGGGTCTGCCCGCAGGCACCTGCACTGCTCCTGGGCTCTCTGGAAAGTTCTGAGGACAGGGGAGCTGTCCCGGGGGGTCCAGCCCAAGAGCCTCCCACCCCAAGCCCCTCCCCGAAGCCATAAGATAGTAAGGGCAAGGCCTGGAGGCGGCAGGGGTGTGTCCACAGACCTGGTACTGCATGACCTGTTTCCCGACCTCCGTGTCCAGGTCTGCAGCCAGCACCCCGTTCTCGCTGACCCCGTTGGGGACGGCTGTCTTCCCTCTAAGCTCCTTCACGACCCTGACCTTCAGTCGGCTCCGGAGAACAACAGCTGCATTCCCTGGGGGCCAGCAGGGATGACCTCAGGGGTGGCAGCACCCCATGGAAGCAGAGACACCCCCTTGACCAGTGACCCCCGATTCTTCTCCCAAACCGAGAGCAACACTTCTGTGAAGATCAGTCCACTGCTAGTCAACATGCACGGCAGCTTCACCCCGTGACCTGCTCACTCCTCAAGGCCAGGAAAAACCACGTATGAACCATTCAAAATTTAGAAATCTCTGAATCTGGGAACACTTAAATGTTGCTCTACGCATCACTGAAAAGGCCAGAAACCAAGTGAGAAGACAATCCCATGTTCAGAACTGCTTGTAGTTCCAGAACATTCCGACTCACCCTGTATCACCTGAGCAACTTGGGACTGAAAGTTCTCAAAGTTGAAGGGGGTCAGGAAGCCCAGGGAGCCCAGATGAAAAGCCATGACCGGAGGCACGCTGCCCTGTGAGCCAAGGAGGCAGGTCACTCAGCTGGACAGTCCACTGCAAAGCCACCCAAGCACCGACCAACGCACCCCTGACTGCCCCGGGAGGGGACACGAGCGCAGGGTCACTGCCAGACAGGGGCGGTGGGCTGATGCCCTCCAGGTGGAGGGGGGCTGGACTCAGAGTGACCGCACCTGAGGTCAGCAAGGAGTCAGGGATGCCGGGAGGAGCGGCGGTGCAGAGGGCCAATGAGAAACAAAGGCAACAGGACTGACCAGCCCACTGACCATGGAGAACAGGAAGAAGCTGATGAGGGCCAGACGAGAGGCGAGCAGAGCCACTCCAGCGCCCACGAGGCTCTGACCCGCGGAGACCACACCTGGTAGGTTCTGGGTGGGAAGACCTGATGGAGATGCCGGGGCGGGGACGGCAGCTGGGGCAACGGGGCTGAGGGTGGGACTCACGGTCCCCTAACAGGGTGCTCTGCAGTCCTTTGAGAGCCACTTCCGCCAAGGAGCGAGAGCGGGATGGCGGGGGCGCAAGGCAGGAGGAAAGAAAGTGGGCCGCTTCAAGGCGGCAGGATGCGGTGGGTGGGAGGGCTACCCCAGGACCTTTACTTCTGTCCTCTCCCGAGCTCTAACTCTGCAGCATTCCGGGCTCGGGGGGTGCACACCACTTCGTGCTGAGGCCCTGGTCCACACTGCCCGTCAGACCTGCCCCTGTGCCCCAGTGGCCACTCTGCCCACTTCCAGGCCGCTCTCCAAGGGCCTCCACACCGGACCTTCTAATGCACCTCGGCTGGGTCCCTGCAGGGGTCTTGCCTTGTGGAGAGTGAGGGTGGGCTGCAGATGACGACACTGGGCTCCTGTGCAGACCCTCGCCCTCTGGCACCTCCACAGTGTTTCCCCTGATGCCCTGGAGGGACAGCCTGTAGCTGCTGCCCTCGCCTGCCCTGGACCCTCGCCCCACCAACTTGCCACGCAGCGTCAGCTCTACTCGCGGTGCCATCTGTCTGTGGACCTGCAGCCGCGCCCCCCCAGGACAGTTTCTCCCCGACGGCTCTCTTCTTCCCACCTGCTCCCTTTTCCCCGCCCAGGCTGCGCCTGCCCATGTGCCATTTGCCAGCAGCACCCCCGAGGACGGCGGGAGCACCCGGCCGGTCACAGCTTCAAGCACCCAGAGCAGATGCCCCATCTGGCGTTATCCGCAGACTTGCTCTATCACCAAATAACCAAACTGACAAGAAAAACCCAGTCAGCATCAGAGTGAGAAGGCTGTACAACTCCTCACCCCGCAGTATCCAGAATGAGATGAAAGAGGGGAGGAACCCTGGCTGTGGAAGTGCCTTCTCACGAGACCCTGAACCCTCTGGAAGCCTCACCTGGAAGAGGGAGGAGGCGTAGAGCAGGGTCCCGTCTCCTCCCAGGCAGATGATGAAATCGATCTGATTGGAAATGTCATCATAATCTAGAAAACACAGCAACAAACACAAGGAAAACCGTCATGCAGCCCTTGCTGCTGCAGGGCAGAGCTGTCCAGGACGGCGCAGGAATGCTAGAAGCTTCCGTCAAGTACAGGGGAGTGACACCCAATTAACCACTCGACAGAACCGAAGGACAACTCGCCTTCTCGGAAGGTGCAGAACTTCTTCTTTACTGGTCCAAAGTTGTCATCACTCACTATGGCGGGGTCTTCTAGAACTTTCTTCTCCACATACACGATCATGTTGTTCTCCTAGAATAGAGATGGGCCCATCAGCCCAGCACTGAGACCTGGTTCAGATCATGCTGCTCTTCCCTGAAGCCGCCTTTAGGCCTGAGCACTGCATGATAACAGCGAGAAACGATTCCTTCGTCTTGGCCGGCAAACCGCTTTCAATCTGCTCATTTCACAGATTTCTATCCTCCTGCAGGCTCTGCGACGCTTGTTATGGAAGCCGCTTTCCTGGAATGAGCCTCCTGACTTTACTAGTTCTGGAATCAGAAACCTGGACACCTGGGTAGGAGGCTGGCTCCTTGAGGCCTCTCCCCACTCCCGAGCCCCCCCAGCCAGCCCCAGATGAGCACGGTGCAGAGCTTTGGCAAATATCAGTTTCCCAATGTCCCAGGTGGCATCCCGCCGGCACAGACGAAGTGGGGCGCAGAGGGGAGCTCCGGGGTCGCCTCCGCCCGCTCACCTCCATCAGGTACACACAGAGCTCCTTGAAGGGCTGGAGCAGGCTGGCGTCACGGATCTTCTTGATGACAAGCACACTCTTCGGGGACTTGTTCCACGTCAACCGCTGGCTGGCAGGGTCCTGGATGTGCCTGTGAGGGGAGAGGAGGGTTCACACCACGAGTGCATATTCCAAGAGGCGGGCACATGGCACCCTCGGAAGCGTGTCTTCAGGTCCTGCACCAGCGCTCCGCCCAAGCTGTCCTGACTAGGCCCCGCTTGCCCAGGCCTGCCCCATGCTCCGCTGCCGGGTGCCGGTCTCGCCAGTGCAGGCGCTGACCCCCGGAGTAGGGCCGAGGGCTCGGCTGACCCCTCTGGCTGCTCACGCCACCTGGAAGGTCCTCACTCAGAAGCCGCACTTCCAGGCGCCTTGCTGCCCACTGCTCACCACGCGGCCCGGACCTCACATCCGCCCGTTCCTGCAGTTTCCAGCGACACTCACCGACGGCTCCTTTGGAGCAAACCTCACTCATGGACTTGCTCCAGGAGAAACGCTAGCGGGGGCCGCTCTTTGCTTGGGGCCCTTCCTGCCCCCGGGGACCATGGCAGAGCCCTCAGGACACAGCTCCCTGCTGACTCGTACGTGGGGGGTGCAGCCCCATGTCCATACCACTGCGTGAACAACTCTGTTGACCTTTAACTTTGACAGTTAAAAGCCTGTTTCAAAGTCAGTGGCAGGATTTTGGGGGCAGAGAAACCACCTGTATGATTATAACGGCAGATACACATCATTACACATTTGTCCAAACCACAAAACGCACAGCACTGCGCAGCACTGCACGACACCCTGCAAACTGTGGCCTCTGGGTTCGTCAGCTGTAACAAATGCCCCTCTGTGGGGTGTGGACGGTGGGGAGGCGCTGCGTGTGGGGGGCACATGGGAATCTCTGTACCTTTCCCTCAATTTTGCTGTGAACCTAAAACTGTTTGAATAAGGTCTATTTTTTTAAAAGTCAGTGGGATCCTGCCCAGGAGCGACAGCCCCCCAGGTCCCCGCGGTGCCCTGACTCGGTCACTGGTGCTGGTGGGCTGGTGTGGGGAGCCCACGCGCACTGTGGTCTGTGGGTAGCAGGCCCCCACTGAGGGGCAGGGGCGTTCCCCCAGAGGCAGATTGCTGTGTAAATCACAGGGAACATCGCAGGCCAGCCTGGAACAAGCTGCGACTTGCATGTGAACAAGCTCCAAGGAGCAGCGAGCAGACAGGCAGCCACCATGGTCAGCACACACCTTGGCTGACACTGCCCTCTCAGCCCGTCGGGAAAGAGTTCTTAAAGGTGCAGTGCAAGCTGGCAGGAAGACTTCCCTGTTCAAGGAGATCCCCAGTCCAGGCACCTGCTCCAAACCTTGCCCGGTGGGGCAGTGCTTCCCTCCGGAAAGCTGGAGAGCCCCGTCAACTTTCAGAGGCACGACACAAACCACTAATGAAAGTACGGGGCGACTCATTGCGCTCCTGCCTGACCATTGCTCACCCTTTCCAGGCGTTTCCGCGAAGGGAGGGCGCACTCATCGCTCCCTCTATGAGCTTCCTCGCCTGCCCAGGTCACAGCGCAGCTCTCCCAGGAGGGGACGGCCGGTTTGTGCATGGCGCCTCGGTCACGCTTTGCTAACGACAAGAGTAAGGCGCACTGACCCCCCGCACTCTCCCAGTTGTGCATCTGCACCACAACCCTAATTTCTGCATCCTCAGAACTGAAGGCAAAACAGAATCCTGAAGTGACCTGCTAATGGTTGTGTAAAACAACCAAGTCTAGAGTCTCCTAAAACTACAAATCAAACCAATCACACAAGTCTTCTTGTTTGCACAGTCCTCTTGCCTGGAGGCCTACCTAACACAGCAAGTCCTCAAGATCAACTTTAACACAGAGAGGCTAGACCTGAGACGCTCTGCTCTTCACTCGGCTGCCTCGGAGGTCGGGACAAGCCTGTCCAGCGCCCCGGGTGCACTGGACACGTCCCAGCCAGCCAGGAATCCACGCTGGGTTGTGGAACCAGCTCGGCCCCGTGGCAGGAGTGCTCAGGCCACAGTCAGGTGGAGGGGCGCACAACCCCCAAACACCATCCTCCACTCAGCTACGGGCCTTAGACGGAGCGCAGGTGGCGGCAGGCCTCTCCCCAGGTCAGCGGGCAGCTGATGGGCTGGCTCAGGCAGACGGTGAAACCCCTCCCTGCTGACCCCAGCAGGCACCGCCCACGGCCCCTCCAGCCCTGCGGCTTGGCTGCACCCAGCCAGAGCCACTGCAGTGCATGGGCCTGGGTGCCAACTGGTCACTCAACTTCCTGCTGAGTCACCAAAGTGGCATGCTGACCCCTCCCTGGCACACAGGCTGTGGGTGCCGACAGGAGAGCAGGGGCACCTGACAGCTCAGCAGGTGACACACCTGAGCCACCATCTCGTAAGCCAAAGAATCAGATGTTGGCAGTTCCACATATGTGAACATAAGAGAAAACACATGTTCACGATGAAATTTCAGACAATAAAGGAGGAAGTAAAAGTCTCTTGTAATCAACCTTTCTACAATATCTTATTTTTGAACATCAAGGGAAAAGTTACGTTAGCACACATGAAGCCCTGCCCCACCCACCTACAGTGTTGGGAAGAAGGGCAGAGAAATGGAGTCCTGTCCCCCAGAGATGACAGCCCCCCCAGAGAGCCCTGGGCACGGGCCTCGGAGGGGCAGAGAAAGCCGCTTACTCCTCAACCTTGACCGCAGCCCCGGGGGTACTCCTGGGGCACCTGCCCCTCTGCTCGGGGCACACCACCCTGAACAACCTCACCTGACCTCAGGGAGCAGCTCAGATGCCGCCCTGAGCCCCCACCTGAGGCTCACGAGGCTGAGAGACACACACCTCTGATGGTGACTGTGGGCTTGGCCGGGAGTGAGTGACGGCTAATTAAGGCTGGACGGTGAGAGGCCACTTAGGTGGTACTTAAGCTGAGATGTGAGTGAGAGGAGAGAGCAGCTCTCCCAAGACCAGGAAATGCAGGGAGGGGCCCTCAGGCAGCTGGTGAAAGGCCAGGGCAGGGCAGTCTGGGCCAGAGCAAACAGGAAGGCGCTGGGCGTGGGAGAAGCCGAGGTGGGAGCCAGCAGCAGGCAGCTGGAGCTCTGGGGTTGGGGCGCCTGGGTGGGCCAGGTTCCCAGTGTGGCTGCTGTACAGAGAGCAGACCGTGGGGGCGCTAGAGGGGCCGCAGCAGATGGGCAGGAGTGGGAGGACAGGAGGCGGGGCACAGGCGGGATCAGACCCGCCCCACGTGTGACAGCAGCGACTGGACAGCTACAGACACACCTGAAACGGGCAGGGGCTCTAGCACCAAAGGGACCCAGTGCCCAGCCCGGCCCTCAGCATCTGCAGGAAGCGGGCAGTCACAGCTTCACACACCACACACTTCATAGTTTGCACAGCAGCTCCCTGGGCAGCCTGGAGGCGGCAGCACGGGCGCCATCACTATCCTCTAGGCCCACCGCCTGGCACCAGGTCAGAGGGTGCTGACCTGCGGCCTGGGGCCCCGCCTACTGGGGCACGCTGTGCGATTCGGGGTGGACCGCTACACTGAGCGGTTCACAGGGAGCCGAGACCCTCAGACGGGTTCGTCACAGGAGCACAGCTGAGCCCGAGGCCCTTACCCTGTGCGGCTCCCCTGAAGGAGGGGACCCCGTGGGGGGCTCTGTGCACAGGCCTGAAGGGTGAGGCACAGACTGCTGGCAGGGGTGGTGAGTGGCCACAGGGGCAAGCCACGATGCTCAGAGCTGAGGGGACTCTGTTTTTGACCTAAAGCACTAGCATGAGACAAGTCACACGCGCGTGTTTGCATAAGACATAAACCACAGCCAGACCCCACCCAGACCACATGGGCAAAGCTCTCACCCCATTGGAACCATCAAATACTGGACAGAAGAAGCTGACTGACACAGCTATTCAAGAGTCCAGTGAAATGATCCTAACTGCTTAGTTTTTAAATAGTGTCTCATCCAGGCCCCTCTCGGGGAGTCCCAGGCTGCACTCCCCTCGGGCTGACGGGGCTGCTCCCAAGATGCAGAGCCTACAAAGCCACGCCCACACAGCGACTCACTCTCTAACAAGCAGACCCAGGTTTTCAAAAAAGCCAATTAATGTCTCTGTATTTTAAGAATCATTAAAGGAGAAACATATTGGACCCACCAAATGTGTTAGCATGAAATACATGAGTTTCCCTCCTAGAGTTTTTACTGTAAAAACAAAAACGTAACTCTACGTATCTTAGTGGAAGCGCCCTGGACCTGCTGTGCCCCCGGAGCACACCCGGCTTGTCCCCCATCCACTTTCTTGCAGGCTCAGGAGGCTCCGCACTCGGGAGTCGCGGAAGGTGCCCCTGTGGCTTTCTGCTGACTTACAAGCAACTTAACACCACATTCTTGCCTGAGTGTCAGCACTTCCACACCACAGCCTCCCCCAACAACACATAGTCCCAGGGTGCCCCCGCACTCACATGATGGTCTGCGGGTTCTGCAGCACGCAGGCCTTTGGTCCGAAAGTGGTCACCGGGCACGGCCCGTGCAGAGAGCGAGTCCTCCTGTGGGGAGAGGAGACACGGTGGGAGGGCTGTCAGTCGGCCAACAGAGCACACATGTAGACAGACACACGTACAGACTGTGTAGACTCAAGAAATACTTTATGCCAAACGACATTAACTCTGTCATTTGCCCAATATCCATGAGATGGTCCCAGAAGATTCCGCCCTGGTCTGCAGAGCTGCACTTGAGTGCCACATGCTGTCTGTGTCGCAACAGCAGTTAAGAGACACAGAGGCCCACCTAGAAAAGCTCCTTAGAACAAAGACCCCAAACCAGTGCAAGTGCCCAGGTCCCCCCAGAACAAAAGAATGTGACCTTTGGGGACGGGCCTGGGAATCTGAATTTGTGCATTGTCTCTCGACAAGTCCACATGAAGACCAGTCCTTGGGTCTATACCTGGGAATCAAGACCTTAAAACCATCCCGAAGTGATCTAGATTAAAATTCTAACAAAAATGCTCATTCTCAGTCATACTGTCAATTAAAAAAATACTACGTGAACGACCCAACTTTTCCAATAATTGAAAAGTGCCCTGGGCCGGCCCTGTGGCTTAGCGGTTAGGTGTGCGCGCTCTGCTACTGGTGGCCCGGGTTCGGATCCCGGGCGCGCACCGACGCACCGCTTCTCCGGCCATGCTGAGGCCGCGTCCCACATGCAGCAACTAGAAGGATGTGCAGCTACAACATGCAGCTATCTGCTGGGGCTTTGGGGGAAAAGTGGATAAATAAAATTATAGAAAAGAAAAAAAAAGAAAAGAAAAGAAAAGAAAAGTGCTCAGCTACAATCAAATCACCCACACAGAGGGCACTGTGGCCGGCACACGTTCTGTGGACACCACCATTTGGCTGCCCTCCCTCTCCTCAACTCAGGGGTCCAGCGTCCGCCCCGGCAAGGGGCCAGGGGAGCGATGAGGACACCCCCACAGAGACAAGGCAGTGGGAAGTGTTCACCCCACAAAGAATGCCAGCCTCCAACAGCCATGATCCTCCTCTGCACCAAAAATACTGTCCCAAAGACAGCCAGACGGAGCCGGCAAGATTCTTTCATCTTTAACTGCACATCTCATGGCTCAACAAGACCTTCCAATCCCAGTGCAGACAAAACAGACTTTCCATTGTCTCGTGAAGGGCAGCCAACCGTGAGAGACCATCATGCTGTCTGGCTGTGGGCTGTACCTCCCTGGCCCTTGACAGCATACAAAAGATTTCTGGAAATGGAGTTCACAGGAGGTTTTTCTAAGTCGCATTTACACTTAGTCTCTGCTCCTAGAGAACCGGCCGTGACTGGGCACATTCTTCCCTTCTCTTCCCAGCCAACACCCACTCACAGAGGCCACCTCTGACCTGCTGCAACCACGCCAGGTTCAATGTCCTCTGAAACAGAAAGGGCGTGTATGCCAAACCCCACAAGACCAAAACCCAAAAGCAAGCCTGCTGGGAACACGCAGTCACTGCACTGAAGCAGAAGGTCACTTGAAAACTCAGCATGACGACACAGGTGAGGGAAGCTGCCGGCCCCGGGGGGATGCTACGGTGCCTCTCCCACATGTGTGGGTTAGAACTTTCTAGACAGAAAGTTGTGCCGGCACCTCGCCCCTGCTCTGCTGCCCGCCAAGTGAAGGGCACTGCGGCTCTTGCCCCTCGCCTGACAGAAGTACACATTTTACAGACGTGACCTTTGCTTTGGAGGCGAGGTCAGCTCTGGCAGCCACCACCTGAAACTCACCGAGTTGGCTGTTCCAGAAACCAGAGCAACATTCACAGGTGCCATCACAGAGCTCTGCCTGGCAGGCCGCTAACTCAAGTGCACTGTGCAAGAACATGCACCTCCAGCTCGCTAGAGGGGGCACAGGCTGGGGAGGGTGCTTGCCCAACATCTTGCGGCCACGCTCAGGCCTCCGCCAGCCCCAGCACTGACCGACACCTTCAGGCGCCACCGACACACCTCACACGTCAAAAGTTCGTGTGGGGGGCCAGCCCCATGGCTTAGCGGTTAAGTGCGCGTGCTCCGCTACTGGTGGCCTGGGTTCATGCTGAGGCGGCGTCCCACATGCAGCAACTAGAAGGATGTGCAGCTATGACATACAACTACCCACTGGGGTTTTGGGGAGAAAAAGGGAAAAAAAAAGGAGGAGGACTGGCAATAGATGTTAGCTCAGAGCCGGTCTTCCTCAGCAAAAAGAGGAGGATTAGCACGGATGTTAGCTCAGGGCTGATCTTCCTCACAAAACAAAACAAAACAAAACAAAACAAAAAAAAGGTCATGTGGGCACAGCTGATGAGCAAAAAAAAGGAAAAGCAGCCGTGGGGTGCCCTCTGGGAAGACATGCCAGGCGAGTGCTCGTCCCCTGCTCTGGGGACTCAGAAGGCCCATCCCACCTCACCTTCTGGACAGACACTACATTAATCAGTATTTATATGCACCAGTACAGATTACTTAAAAGAACCTTTTGTGACAGTTTTATGAAGTCAGATCACGAAATCAAAGAGAGAGGGATGGGAGGGCTTTGTACCTGAACTCCTTGGTGCTCACCAGGGCGGGCGAGGCCGACAGGCTGCGGGACTTGGCCCGCCCCCGGATGGGGTGGCTGAGCCCCCAGTCCTCGTCCCCACGACACGTGGAGCAGCAGGACGAGGCCGAGTCTGCGCTCAGCTCCTTGCTCATGCTGACTTTTTCTTGTTCCATTTCCATAGTCGATAAAGGAGGACTTTGGTCCAAAAAACACTGATGCCTTAATTTAATAAAATAAATGAAGTCAGTAAATGTACATGTACAAAGTAATGTATATACACATTTATACCTCCATTCTACCAAGGGGACAAATGGTTGAAGTCCAATTTACCGAAGGACTTTGAAAATAGTCTGTTTCCATCCCAAAGATACTTAAGAACTCGGGAATCGACCTGTGCTTGTTCACGACTCTAGAAGAGCTAAAAGTCAAAGAGGAAGAACAAATGCCCAGAGGCCAGCACCATGGCGGAGCGACCGGTTCCCTTGGTCTCTCCCCTCAAGTTACAGCCAAACAGACACTCAATAACCAGCAGAGTGTTCCCTACAAAGCACAAAAGGACGTCTGAGAGATCCAGGCAGCCATGCATCGGAAGGTGGGGGGACCGGATCCCCGGGAAGCAGTGGATGGAGGTGAGCGCACCCTCTCCCACCCCCCGGCGGCAGTGAGCTAGGTTGCGGGTCCTCACGCAGCAGCCGGCGCACGACTGTAAGAGGAGGTCGGGGAGCAGCCGGGCCTCGAGAATGCTTTCGCTTTCAGAGTGTAGCCCGACCCGCATGAACACTCCACACTGAGTGGCGCCCCCACACCAAGCACAGCAGCCTGGGTGAACTGTCCGTGAGGGCAGAGCGGGCCTGTGCGAAAGCAAGCCCCCCCTCCACCCAGCACACCAGCTTGGCTAGGCCCCGGCCAAGGCAGCGGTTCCACACCAGAGTGCCTGCGCAGGCGTATGGGACCCGCCAAGAGGCTACGGCCAGCAGGCAAACGCAGATAAGCCCCATCGGCACAACTTCCAGCAGATGCGATGAGTTCAGAAAACACAGTTCCTGCCCCACCCCAGAGGTGGCAGGTAGAATCTGTCACCTGATACCGCCACAAATGTACCAGCAAAGGATCACTTCATCAAACACCATGAAGAACTACAGTGACACCCCAGAGCAGAAGGAAAATGAGAAGTCTCCAGAAACTGATCCTGAAGTCACAGAAATTTACAATCTAAATGCAGAGAATTCAAAAGAGTTGTCATAAAGAAACTCAATGAGTTACGAGAAAACTCAGATAGACAGTTCAATGAGCTCAGGAATTACTGATGAGCAGAAGGAATTAATGAGCAGAAGGAATACTTCACCAAAGAGATTGAAACTCTAAAAAAAGCCAAACAGAAATTCTGGAGATGAAGAACACAAGGAATGAGATAAAAAACAATCTAGAAACCTTAAAAAACAGAACTGAGGGGCCAGCCCCACAGCCTAGTGGTTAAGTTTAGCATGCTCTGCTTCGGCAGCAGAGGTTCAGTTCCCGGGCATGGACGTACACCACTCGTCAGCAGCCGTGCTGTGGTCGTGACCCACATACAAAACAGAGGAAGATTGGCACAGATGTTAGCTCAGGATGAATCTTCCTCAGCAAAAAAAAAACCCCAAAACAAAAAAAACAGAGCTGACATAGAGGACAGAATTAGTAATTTAGAGGGCAGATATACAGAAATTCTTCAGATGGAGGAGGAGAAAGAACTAAGACTTAAAAAAAATGAAGAAATTCTTTGAGAAATATCTGACTCAATTAGGAAAAGCAACCTAAGGATTAAAGGTATTCCAGAGGCAGAACGAGCAGAGAACTTGTTCCAAGAAATAATAGCTGAGAACTTCCCAAACCTGGGGAAGGAACTGGAATTACAAATATATGAAGCCGGGGCTGGCCCCGTGGCCTAGCGGTTGGGTGCGCGCGCTCCACTGCTGGCGGCCCGAGTTCGGATCCCGGGCGCGCACCAACGCACCGCTTCTCCAGCCATGCTGAGGCCACATCCCACATACAGCAACTAGAAGGATGTGCACCCGTGACATGCAACAACCTACTGGGGCTTTGGGGAAAAAAAAAGGACGAGGATTCGCAATAGATGTTAGCTCAGAGCCGGTCTTCCTCAGCAAAAAGAGGAGGATTAGCATGGATGTTAGCTCAGAGCCGGTTTTCCTCAGCAAAAAGAGGAGGATTGGCATGGATGTTAGCTCAGGGCTGATCTTCCTCACACACACACAAAAAAACAAATATATGAAGCCAATAGAACTTCTAATTACATCAATGCAAAAAGATCTTCTCCAAGGGATATAATAGAAAACTGGCAAAAGTCAATGACAAAGAAAAAATATTAAGGGAAGCAAGGCAGAAGAGAATAATCTACAAAGGAACCCCTATCAGGCTTTCAGTGGATTTCTCAGCAGAAACCTTACAGGATAGGAGAGAGTGGAATGATATATTCAACATTCTGAAAGACAAAATTTCCAGCCAAGAATACTCTATCCCGCGAAACTCTCCTTCAGATACGATGGAGAAATAAAAGCTTTCCCAGATAAACAAAAGCTGAGGGAGTTCATCGGGGCCACTAGACCTGCCTTACAAGAAACAATTGAGGATGCAAAGGTTTACATAGCCGTGAGCAAGAAGATAAATACAGACAAAATCAGAAAATCTCAGCTCTCTATCAGAACAGGTTAGCAAACAATTATAGCATAAAACATAAAGGGAAGGAAAGCATCAAAAACAACTATAAACACTTCATTTTCATCACAAACTCACAACACAAAACAGAATAATTTGTGACAACAATAACTCAGAAAGGGAAGAGGAAAGGTATGGAACCTGCTTAGGTTAATGGAGATAAGAGGCTATCAGTAAATGGACTATCTCATCTAGGAGATCTTTTATACAAACCTCATAGTAACCACAAAACAAAAAATCAGAGCAGACAAATAAATCATAAATAATAAGAAAACCACCATAGAAAACTACCAAACTGAAATGGCAGGGGCTGGCCAGGTGGCGTAGTGGTTGAGTTCACACGCTCCGCTTTGGCGGCCTGGTGTTCACAGGTTCGGATCCCGGGCACGGACCTATGCACCGCTTGTCGGGCCATGCTGTGGCAGGTGTCCCACATACAGAATAGAGGAGGATGGGCACGGATGTCAGCTCAGGGCTATTCTTCCTCAGCAAAAAGAGGAAGATTGGCAACAGATGTTCGCTCAGGGGCCAATCTTCCTCACCAAAAAAAAAAAAAAAAAAAACAACCCTGAAATGGCAGTCAGAAACATAAGAGAAGAGAAACAAGGGAAATATAGAACAACTGGAAAACGAGATAAAATGGCAGTATTAAGCCCTCATATGTCAACAATCACTCTAAATGTAAATGGATTGAATTCTCCAATCAAAAGACACAGAGTGGCTGGAAGGATTAAAAAACAAGACCCAACAATATGCTGCCTCCAGGAAACACACCTCAATTCTAAAGACAAACAAAGGCTCAGAATGAAGTGATGCAAGATGATACTCCAAACAAATAGCAAACAAAAGAAAGCAGATGTTGCCATACTTACATCAGACAAAGCAGACTTCAAGATAAAAAAAGGCAGTGAGAGACAAAGAGGGGCAGTATATAGTGATAAAAGGGACATTCCACCAAGAGGACATAACACTTATGAATATATATGCACCTAACACAGGAGCACCAAAGTATATAAAGCAAATATTAACAGACCTAAAGGGAGAGATTAACAGCAACATAATAATGGGGGACCTCAACACCCCATTTATATCAATGGATAGATCATCTAGACAGAAAGTCAACAAGGAAATAGTGGAACTAAACAAAAAACTAGATCAGATGGACTTGATATATATATAGGACATTCCATCCAAAAATAGCAGAATACACATTCTTCTCAAGTGCACATGGAACATTCTCAAGGATAGACCAGGGCCAGCCCCATGGCTTAGTGGTTAAGTGTGCATGCTCTGCTACTGGCGACCCAGGTTCGGATCCCGGGCGCGCACCGACGCA